ATTTACTTGGTTGTAGGGGATCAGCTATTGTAATCTGTTGGGGTCTCTCAATGTAAAATGAATGAATCATGGACCCATACTTAGTGAGGTTACTGAAATAATTACTTTGCAGCAGTCAGTGGTGTCATTAATTTCACCTTATGATAACTGAATGAGAGTTAAAGCATGTGGCACTTAATTTTATTTATTTGTATAATCTGAACTATTGTGTTTGATGACCTTATTTCTTTATTTGTGTATGTAAAGGAATCAGCTGGTTACTTGCTGTAACCATAGCAACATGGGAGTCTTGATATTGAAAAGTGTTGATTTAATTGTCTTTTCATTGAGCTAGTAATTGTGATGTGATCTGAATTTTACTATAATTATTTAGTTAAAAAGAAAATCACTGCAGATGGTGAGAATGTTGACAAACTTTACACTTCAAAATATCAATAATTGGTTACAAAAGTGTTGCTGTCTGCAGATGAACTTCATAGTGAACTCTCTTTTACACATTGTGTGTTGTTAAATGGTTGCATAACACACTGTAATTTTATTTATGTTATGTAACATTATATTTTATTATATTATGTCCTGTGTTTGCACATACAACCATAATCATAGTACAATGTGTAGGTGAGTAATACTTTTTTTCCCAGGTTCTGTATGGTGTAAAAGAGTATTCGTGTTCAGATGCCCCAAATGATCATGTTGGTGCCGTGTGTCAGAAAGGTATGGATAAGCCATTCACAGACATAAAAGATAAGAAATATTGGCAACTGTCAGTTTTGGGACAGTTGGTGCACATAAACTTTGCCAATTTGGGAAAAATTAATAATTTCTCAATTGAAGATTTCTGTCTTCTGGGTTGTTGCGCTGTGTAGTCTGGTCGATGCTAACCAACGTTTCAGAGGTCATACTGCCTCCGTCATCAGGGCGATGAATATGCCAATAGGGTGTGAGGAGTTGGATTTATAGGCAGGGAAGTGAAAGGTGTAGCCTGCCCCGAGCCAATGGGAGCACTACACAGCGCAATAACCAAGAAGACAGAAATCTTCATACTCACCGCTGTGAGAACCTCAAGTCTTACAATTTCTCAATTCTTCACTTTCTAAGATTAAAACTCTTCATCGAAAATTTTATTTTTTGTGAAAAAATTGTGCAGGAAATAGATGTGAAGCTAAGCCTAAAATTTCTTAGTGTTACATGAACTGTCTCATCTGCAGCAAATCTCTCTTTCTGGTATTTATTCCTCTTTATAATCTGTGTTTATTTGGTTATGCAGAACTGTGGAAAGAAAAATTCAATACTGTGTCACTTGACAGTGGAAAATGTTGTGCCCTTTGGGATGAAAATCAGGAAAAAGGGGACATTAAAAGTATCTACATAAATGCTAAAGAAAATGTGTGAATGGAGAAAAACATAAAAATTACAACCTTAGTTATGTGATTATTTATCAGACCTAGTTCCCATGAGGTACTATAAGGACAAAATTAAAATTAAAATTAATCCCATGCCACTTTGACTGTACTTGGCCCATGGATTCTACTTTTCTCATCCCTGGATTGGAAATTACACCACTTAGTTTAATGTGCCTCTATGTCACATTATAGGTGAAAGTAATAAATTTAAGTCAGCTGTTCAGTAGCAATAGGAAGAATGCAGATGGTCATTGTAGAAAAGCAACATAGGCTCTGTTCCACGAAATAATAATGACTTTCACTTTATTTTCAGGCATGGGGAAGAAAACAAATGATCAGTGTATAAGGAGCAATGCAGACTCTGCTCCACTTCCAACACTGCTGATTAGCTTTATTATTCTGGTTTCTCTGGCTGTGAGAGGAGTTTGAATTGTTGACTTATTTTCATCAGTGAGATTAGCCGTTTCCAGACAAGCTGTTGTATTTATGATATTGAACACAATGAAATCTATAAAGTGGACACTTGTCTGATTCGATGGCATGTCTACAATTTGTGTTGGGCGGTGATACACAGTTTTGTTTGAATCTTGGCCGCACGGTTGGTAAACATCATGTAGTTAAACATCTTCTGTAACTATGTTTTATGGGAATGGTTATGGTATTCTCTCTGTTCCCCAAATGCAGACCCTGCTCCAGGACCAACTCCAGAGTCTGTTTCCCTTCCTCACAACCGTCCTTCCCTCTCGTCTCACTGACGTCACAGCATTTCACCACGTCTCATGCCAATTGTCCATACCTTGTTTCTAGTCTTCTAAAAAGGCCATCTTTTCCAGGTTTTTTTTCTCCTGTTTCAAATTTCCATTTGACTATGCCATAAAGGCCACTATTGTTGAGGTGCAAACATGGTTCCTTTTCCCCTCCTCCTCCTGTAACTTGAGTGGCCAATGTCCATGACCTGATCCATCTCCTATTTCTGTATAAACCAGCTTCTTCCCCAACATTCCTCACTCCAACCCTGATTATTGAGTCAGTATGGTCCTCTGAAACGTCAGCAGCTCGACTGACTCGCTCATGGTGCCAGAACCCTGGAGCAGAATCAACATCAGTGGTTATTAAAATCATTGCAATTAAAGAAATATTTTACATTTAGTCTTCTCATCAGTCCATCTACCTGATGACCTCATAATTCTCTGTTACTCAGTTTATAAATTAAATTAAATGGAATATCAGATTGCTTGTCAGGTGAGTCTTTGGCTTCTTCACTTATTGCCAGTAGCATGTACTAAGCATTGAAATGTATTATTTGGTGCTGATCTTAATATTCTTAAGGACAGAAATTGTAAATGAGTTGTCAGTATCAGTGAAGTTCACTCATTGTCAGTGTTTTACTTCTGATGATCTTTAAGTTCTCTTATTTCTTTAATTTTGTTATCATTACATTTTATCTTTTCCATGCCCATGTCATCCAAATTATTTTCATAACCACACTTTTATTCTAAATTGATATTAAAGCTAAAATGTTCACACATTTTGGGAATTTCTTCTCTAATTTGCTTTCACTCAGTTCCATTGTACTGCATATAATACTGTAATTCATTGGTAATCCTCCTTCATGTACTTCCTTTACCCCTTGTGTCTTACATTACATTGAAGAACATAAGAGATAAGACACTGACACTTCCCTGTCTAACCCCTCTGTATGTATTGACACTTTCAGATTTTGTTGTGATCTGTTACCAAACTGTTCTCACGTTTTTCATAAATTCTCTTTACTCTGCCTGTTAGTCCTTGTAAACTGTCGCCCTGTGAAACCCTCTAAATCCATTGTCTGTTGCAATAAATTACCAAACATTGTCTCTGGCAGGGTCCAGTCTCTTTTGTATTATCTGTCTTGTGTAAATTCAGTCTGTTTTCTCTCAAACCATTTTGTTGTCTTCTCAATTCATTTTCCACCTGTCTCCTCAGTTTCAGATTTATAATTTGCTTATATTTCTGGACAATGTCTAAGCAGTATTATCTTTATTGTTTTATCATCTTTTCTATAAACTGGGACGAGTTTGCCTTTTATCCAGTTATCAGAACTTGAATCAATATCAGTGGATAAAGGAAGCCTTTGGTTAGAGCAAGGTGTAATTCAGTTTATTATATTTACCTGTGCCATGTTTTGCAATAAACTGAGAAAATAAATGTTTTCATTTACAGTAGTAATACGAAGTAAAAGTTGTAAATATCTCTGCTGTTCTTCATGCTTCCCGTGTTAAAAAGATGCCATTAGGTTATCTTTTATTGACAGCAGAAGTGTTACACTTCCCACACTGCTTCTGATAACAGAAGTATTAGGTGTGACTACCGCATTCAGAATAGGTCATGTCTTGTGTGTGCTTGCTTCTTATGCTGTGTATTGTGGGAACTATGGCAGAACCTTCGTTTGTGGACTCGGGAGCCATGGTAAGTGCAGGAATGAATCTGCCTGCTGCCTAACATATATGCACAGAAGTAATTGGTAAGTTAACATTAATTTAGAAGATGGTTGCCGTCTGGGTGGTTGCACCGTGTAGTCTGGTAGAAGTTTACTGACGTTTCAGAGGTCATAATGATTAATTAATTAAATTACTTTTGCACTTTATTTAAAATATGTAAACAAAATAGTAGGTACTTGTGCTAGTACTAAATTATTATAATAAATCTATTCTGAAGGGTTCTGGTGAGGGTGCAGTACCATCTGGATTGCTGGATTTTTGGAACTTGTCCATTGTCTGATGTAAAACGTACAGTGTATTGAGAATGGGTCTGTCCTGGGCACCTTTTCCATGGGGTGTTGTGTGAACACTAGACAATGGGTAAGATCTAAAAACTCAACAGTCCAGATAATAATGAAAAGTGTTATGAAATAGCATCAGATACGAATTTTCCTGATTTGTTCTTCTTACTCAGGTGACTGGCCAATTCAGTTTGGAGCAGAATTCAAATATTTTTGAATCTGTCACTGTCCCATCATTAGGAAATGATGATTTCAAGAGAAGATTTTATCTCTTCTGGTTGCTTGAAGTCATATGTGGCTCATTTGTTTATTACTGCACCAAATAATGTCTTGATTGTAGCCTCAGAAAGTATACCATCATTTTACCTTTACTTTCAGAAGTACTTGGTTCAGTTTGGATACATGGACCCACATGTGATGAGAAATGATTCACGCATGACAAATGATATGATGGAAAGCATGATGAGAACATCCATTATGGATTTCCAGATGTTTGTTGGGCTTCAACCAACAGGTAAATACAATTATAGTTTTAGTCTGACTTAACTGATGGCCTCTCAGCAGTGTCTTCAGGATAATGAATATTCTCACTGAAGTTCTTCAGTGGTTTTCTGAGGACATGCAAGGAAACAGGGTGATGGTACTGCCTGCACACTTTCTGTTTCACCATACACAATTGTCCCTTACCTCTACATATTTTTGCAGTTCTAACAGCATTGATTACTCTGTTGACAAGTTACAAATGCAATTACTAAGTGTTTGGTGTCTGATTCTCCAAATTGGTGGTAGACATTTAGCTGAGACCAAAGGTTCTCACAGTGGTGAAGATGTTGCTTGTGGTATTCTGGATTGTATCACCATGCAGCTGGTTACCAATGTGAACCCTGAAGATGGAGGTGATATATTCCTTTCATATTTTCGTAACCACCTTCAAGGCTGCAGGATCATAACCCGGAAGGCTACAATGTCCTGAAAGAAGCCCATTAACTGACACTGTCCAGAACATTTTACAGTCTCAGATCCATTTTAATGTTATCAATCATAGGAGACTGATCATTCCTCCCTGGAACTGGTTTCTACTCTCGCAGATCTCGGCCTAGCACTTTACTGTGTGAGCTATCATAACTGGTTTTTGTGTTGAAGACTTATGCACTCCGCTGTCCATGATAGTAAATCGTGTACTTAGATTCAGTTCATCCCATTCTGTGAATGAATCTCATTATGTGTTCTCATATCTGAGGCTTTATCTCCCTTATCAGCACTAGACAAACTTGGCAATGAGTTCTGTCAAACAAACACTGAGTGTGACGTACAGAATGAACACACATGCATGGTGAACAAGAGTAGAAAATTGTAACGTATAGAAGTTGCATAAACCAAATACTTTTACCACACCTGTTGGCTATTTATTTGCTTTACTTTAGAAATGTGTTGTGGCCTCACAAAGTTTTTGGTTTTTATAATTTCGTAGTTGTTTGTTGTTATTATGTTGTTCTATACTGGTGCGCATAGAAAATAATGCAGTAACTTAAAGAATTAGAGCATTTTATGTGAAAGTTGAAACATAACACATATTATAAGAAGGAGCTTTTTTTTTTCTTGTTATGTTTAGTGGATACGTGAAAATTCAGTACACTTTGTGTTGAATTGTTATATTTGCATTCGCCCAGTAAATTGAATACAAAAAATGTGCCTTCTCATTCATAGTTTTAATAAAAAATTAACCTGCTTCAACAATATTCTCTGTTAGGCATGATGGATGAAGAAACTCATGAGATGATGACAAAGCCTCGGTGTGGACTGAAGGACAGACATGACTTTGATGAAGAGCACAGCCGGAGGAAGAGGTTTTCTATATTTGGTAAGTTATTCCTGCTTCCATATTTCAACTTTGTGTAAAATGATAATATTTTATCTGTTAAAACTTGGTGTTTCAGTCTGTAATTGTGTATATAATAAAACTGTTAATTTCTGTTTTTAAAAGCTATAAAGCTTATCTTCCATTAAGGTATATGAATGCTAAAATGTATTTTATGTTGTCCTTATGCATTTATTCAGGTGGAAAATGGTCGAAGCAGAACCTTACATATGCAATACAAAGGTATCCGAGTATCAAGCATTTGTCAAGATTGGCTGTTGCTGATGAGATGGAGAAGGCACTGGGTACATGGGCAGCTGTTGCAGAACTGAACTTCCTGTCTGTCCAAAGGAATGAGACAGCAGACATCGAAATTATGTTCGTTAGTGGGAGCCATGGTGATGAAATGCCATTTGATGGCGTGGGGAAGGTCCTTGCTCATGCTTCCTCTCCTACTTCTGGGAAGGTGCACTTTGATGATGATGAACCATGGACCATTAGGAAGTATACGGGTAAGATTAAGTATTCACTGATCAGGTATTGTACAAAATGATTTGAGACATTGAGGGCAAAATGGAATGAGGGAAGATACAGGAAATGCAGTTGGGAATACATAAATTATACTGAATATAGACAAACAGAGAGGAATGGAGAAGGCTTCATCATGAGGTGGATGATGATGATTGAATACAAGGTTTCTTTTATCATTTTAATACTCTTAGAATAATTATAAACATTTTGATTGAAGATGGTGCACATAAAGATCAAATTCTTTCCTAGCCTACTTTCCTCAGTTGTAAAATATGCTTGTCTGATGATTTTCATGAGGTCTTCGTATGTATGTGACGCTACTGCAAATCGTTCTGGATAAAGTGATGCCAACAGTGGCCATTGTGCTTACTTCTGAGCTGGGAGTGCCACGTGCACCATTAAACTTCATGTCTTTGACAGCAGTAACTGATGATTCACTGTAGTTACGCTTCCAGTATTTGATCATTAACAGAGATATTTTAAGGAAATTTGGTATCCTCGTAAATGTTATTTGTATTTAAAAATATAAACAGTTGGTTCACAGTGTCAGAATAGGTCTTCAGATTTTATTATGGATTGTGTTTATCAAGATGGCTGTCTTGTGGGACGTAGTGCCACGCAGTACGCTAGTTTATATTGACCAACATTTCAGAGTAGTAGTTCACTGGCCCCATCATTAGTTACCTTGATGATGGAGGCATTAAGCTTCTCTGAACCTTCTATCAGTATCTACCAGACTACACAGTGCCATGCCGTAGAAGACAGCCATCTTGGTACTCATCATTACGAGAACCTCAGTTTAACAACATTTATCACATTCTAAGTTGCTCAAGTTCGTACATAAAATGCAATAACTTTTGCAAACTGGCTGACTTAATGGTGAAGAGTTTTCTTGAAAAGCTGTAAATAGTCCTTCAGATTCAACTAGTCAAATAATTCTGGCCTCTTATGGAATGTGAAAGTTAATTCCAGATAATGGAAACTGAATTTTTACATACAAAAAATTATGCATAAATGATGGTGAGGAATTATCTTCTTACATGACATGTTCGTTTATACAGCCACATGCTAACAAGGTGTCTAGGGACAGCAGAATTTTTCAAGACCTACACATAAGTTCTTTCAGTAACAAACTGGATTTTTGCATGAGAAAAAATGTCTTTGTTCATCTTTCAGATGTTAACAGAACAGTGTATCATAATGAATAGAAACACAATTCTCTAAGCACATAGCTCTAGCCATTGAAACTCATAGGAAAACAGTGAATAGGTTAATGAAGCAATATTTTAACTATTTCAGGTCAGAACATGTTCTATGCAGCAGTGCACGAGTTTGGACATGCTCTGGGGTTAGGCCACTCAAAAAATACTACATCTGTCATGTTTCCATATGCAGGGATGTATGACCCATCATTCAGGTTGCACAGTGATGACATCCAAGGCATTCAGGTGCTACAAAGGAAATATTCAATGATTTACAGTTCTCTCATAAGTATTTAAGCATGTTCGATAATTCTGTTCAAAACTTCGCCATTTCATGTTCTCCGGCAGAAATTTACATCTGTTTCTATATCTGGCTTATTCGAACAGTTCTGGAAATCTTAGAATTAGAACAAGTAAATTGGCCCTGATGTTTTGTCATGAACCTCAAAGTGGGTTCTTTGTTGACCTCAGTTTGACAATTCAGTTGTCAGTGTTGAGTCCAGTTTCAGAGGAAGCCTGAGAATTTTGAAACTGAGGTGAATTATTGGGTGTGGTCGGCTGCCACTTTGTCCGTTTAAATTCAAGAGTCTCTCAATCTTCTTGTAAGGAGAGTTATAAAATTGAAATATACAGTCACAGTCATTTCTGTTCTCTTGTGCTGTTCACCATTTTTGAGGTACGTGATATGTAGTCAGCCTGTATCTTAAGTTTAGATAATGTTCATTTAATCTGTTTTGACGTTCAAAATTAATTTCAGCCATGGCTAGTATCTTCCTGTTCTTTAGTTGATGTAGAGTTTCCTTCTTTTATCTCTACTGTGTTTGTTATTGCAATGAATCATGGGCCAAGATAGCTTAGTCACATAAGTGATGAATGACTCAGGTTTGATTAATTTACTGTTAATGTGAATTATTACAATTCCACCAAGGCACAGATACAAAAACATTCTCTTTTCCAGGATTTGTATGGACAGAGAATACATTTTCCACCCGATATTTGTTCAGATTCCACATTTGATGCCATTTTTCAGTATCCTGCAGGAGTCACATACGTACTGAAAGGTAAGGGAGGGAAAGTCGTACTGCTTGAAGTTGGAGATGGAAACCTGTTGATTAAGGAGGCATTGTCTTATTGTGTATTTCTGTGAGGGTGATTGAATACCAGATAGTTCAGATGGGAAAGCAGTGGATGCTTATTATTAATAGAATTTTGGCAGAGAATCCTGTTGGAAATTGGAGGGTTGGAAGATCAACAGAATAATAATAAGGATATTAATAAAGTGTATATGTTCTTCTGTCTTTCATGGATAGCCTCAAGTTGTGTCCTTGCTCACAATAGTCGTCCCTGTATGTCTTGCTATGTAAGTGTTTATTCTGCCAAGGTTAGGTTAATTTTTTTTCATTTCATTGGTCTGTTTTTATATTTACTGAACAAATACTAGGTTGTTCCATATTTATCTTAATTATAAATGTTTTCTAGTGTAGTACATTTCTGGGTACTTCTTACAGATTCCATGTCCGCTGTTTGAACTGCAGAAAAATTTTGTGCTGTTCATGTTTTGCTTGTGAAGAGAATTGTGGGAACTAGGAATGAAATAGATTGGACTGAACTGGTTAAGATGAAATGTAGTGTTTTTTTAGCATATTTCCATGACTGGTAGATTAACTCTTTGCCACATTAGAGCCAAAGAAACAAGGGATTGAGCAGTTCAGCTCAACCTACAATGCACCTGAGGATCCTAGTTTAAATTTTCACTGTAGTAAAGGCAGAATTAAGTGAAGTTTCTCATGGATTAACTCAGTTGCTGCAGGTGAATGTTTGTAATGAGCCATGACTGCTTCCTCTTAATCACTCTATGAACCATAGAGAGACGAAGCATGTTAAATCACCTCAAAACTGCTGCCACCTCTTTTCCCAGTGTTAGGCCTAGTTGACGTGGCTTCTGTGTTGCAAAACCATCTCTTCTTCTTTTGAGGGGTCTTCCTGAGTGTCTTTTTCTCTTGCTTGATTTATCTTGACAGGAGCAGAAATCTTTCCATTTGATAGCTAGCTGGTGTTTGAGCTAATAGTCAAGATTTGTGTGCCAACATTTCTTCCTGATCCCATCCTCTACAATTGGTACAGTTTCTTTACATTGCATGCAATTGAATGGAATAGTGGTTGTGCAGTATGCAGTAAGTGAAACATCTGTCTCCGTGCCATCATAGGGGAATATTACTGGAAGCTGGCAGCTGACGGGCCTCTCAGTGGTTACCCAAAACTCATCTCCCATCATTGGCGTGAACTGCCAGGCAATATAGATGCAGCCATTGCTCTTCCGTATGGCAAGATTTACTTTTTCAAAGGTAACAAGACTTGGGCATACAGGGGTGTATGTCTACTTCCAAAATATCCCAGACTTATTTCTGATGCCTGGAGAGGAATTCCAAACAACGTGGATGCAGCTATGTACTATGATAATTCTACATTTTTCTTCTTTAAAGGTAGGTAAGAGGTGTAGAGCATTGCATCTTTTGAATTCTTTCATTATTTGTACCCATTCATTATGCGTTTATTTCTTAAAGTGGAATAAAATGAACACTTACTGTAATTAAGACATCTTCTTCAGTATACGAATTTATTCAGACTATCATATTTGACCTAGGTCAGATACCTACATGCTGTTAGAAGACAAAGAAGTTGTAAAATGTATGCATACCATAAGAATTCTAACATGTTTACTAGAATTTTAACTTTGATCTTTGTGAATGGCTCTGGATATCAGTGGGTGAGGAGAAACTAAACTAAAAAAGACAGTGTGGGTTTGAGTCGTGGGGAGGGCATATGGTCCTTATCAGAAATATAAGGCTTGAACTCTGCATAATTTTTGTCCGTGCTCTCCGATCTGATCTGTTTCACAGTTGCATCTGACACTCGACAATAGCTTGCCCTTCTTTCATCTGCAAAATCAGACTCTTCTCTGCTGTTTCTTGTTTGCATTGGTGACGAACAAGATTTATGATCTCCCTAACCTCAATATGAATGGTTTTTACCCTTTTTTGACTGCTTACCATTCGTAAAGTGTTCCGTTTATAACATAGACAGAATATTAGGTTAAATTAACTTGCACACAGATCTCATTCAGACTGCGGTGCATTGTTTTCTTAACTGGAATATATAGGTTTCTGGCCACAGATTTGTTGCTGTTGGACATCTCTACCCCCAGGGTCAGAGCTTTTCTCCCATGTATTGAAGAGTGCGTACCATTCAGGATAGACGAATATTTATTTTCAGATAAATACATTATCATGGAGATAATCTATTCACTGTGTTGACGTTTGTATGTTTGTTGCAGGGGACCATTACTGGAGGTACAATTCAAACCACAACCATAGTGTTAATGCTGAGATGTACCCAGAACTACTGTTGAAGTGGGATGGCATTGTTGGGGATCTGGATGATGTGTTACGCATTGGAAATTCTGTATACTTCTTCAGGAAAGGACGTTATTATCGTTTCAACTGCTTAACACGCCTGGTGAGGATACTTGATTGGTTTCAGATCTATAAAGAATATATTTCATTCCATTCTCAAACTTCATTTATTATTGTCGCTAGTTTGAGCTCCTTTCCTTCTGGGTACCTCATCCTTTAGAAGTTAACTTCCTTTATAAGCCAGTTCAGTCCATGTCTTGTCTTCACAACATTTTTCTAATATCTATGTTAAAATTAATGTCATTTGTACTGAAGTATGCCTGGATACCTCTTTCCTTAGGTTTCCCAGTCCACAATGATATTGTTTTCACACATTCATGTTATATGTTTGATTGAGTTTAATGACATGAATGTACATTTGACAACTGTTTATTACATTAGACCTGGTAACATGTAGCTATTTTGTTTAGGTTGACCGTGATTACCCCAACGAACCCAGTTACCATCGTTCAACAGCATACTGGTGGTTTCGGTGTGCGGAAAATGACGCTGAACTTTATCAAGAAGGTTATTATGATCCACATTACAGTTAAAATTGTTGAGAATTAAAATACATTATACATTTTATGAAGATCTTGTGCATGAAGAAGTTGTTGCAGGATGACTTGATGTCCACTTGGCACTCAGCTTGTGTAACTCTGCTTTTTCTGGATTTGTTTTCCAGATGTGGCAGAACCTAGCAGCAGGAACAGGAATACTGGCTGCCATGCACTTACCACACTGGCAGTAATTTTTTTAATCTCACTGTCTGTTGGACAAGTATGGCACAGCGCCATGTAACAGCCTGACAGCAAAACCATGAGGAAACTTTGGGTTGCTGTTTCCCTGACCACGGTTCAGACCAACTATAAAGTCAGTTGCGTCAGTACAGTTTTGGGGAGACTGTGGGTTTATATGCAGACTGAATCTGCTGAGAAGTACAAAGAACTGAATATCAGTTGGCAGATAGCATTGGTGAGAAGTGCTTTGATAAGAGTGTTGTCTGTGTTTATCACCCAGACTGCTGCAGTTCAGCACCATGTTGGCTGGAACTTTGGCGCTGGTTTTCTCATCCTTCATGTTGATATACGGATCACAGTTATTTAGCAAGGAGGCTGTGGTAAGGACACAGGCAGTAATGTAATGTCATTCATTATGCTGAACTTTCTTATTGATTTGTTGTTAACCTTGTATTGATACTAACAGAAGTGAAAGATAACATGAATTCCAGAGTGTTTTTTTGCTGCAATTTTCCATCTCTCATTGGTGATGACTTATTGCAGATACTGGAGAGTAGAGGTACTACATGTCTTAGAGATAAAGCCAATCAAAATTATACATATTACATACCATAAATTATGTTTTAATTGTAATAATATAAATAAAGACCAATTAAATGTTTATACTGAAACTTGCAGGCAGAAGCCCCTCAGGACAGACTACTATCAGGTTACGAAGTGTTACGTAGGACTTCGGACTTGACTCATGTTAGGTTCTGGTGGGAGGTCCTGTGAACGCTGTAGTTTGCATTGAGGTTCTTTAAATGGCAGGGCATTTTCTTGTCTAGCTGAGGAGCTATCAGCTTTTCAATAAGAACTCTATTTCATTGTTATGTACAATTTTGAAATATGATAAGATTATATTAATCTGTTCTCTTGTTGATTTTTGGTGATGAAATCTCAAGTTAAAACACACCCGAACATAAAGCAAGAGACAAAGTGCTGCTCTACAGCATGGAGTTAAAATATCTGAAAACTACAAAATGCCTGACAGTGGTAGATTTACCAATAATCTTTGAATGTGATAAGTAAAAGAAGGCAAAGACCTCCAGTACATGTAATCTTGAATAAACACTGTTTTATCTCTTGTTGAAGTTTGGGGCACATGCATCTGTGAAATTTCCTCAAACTGAGATGTTTTTGCTTCTGTGTCATGAAACATGTTCATTGTAGGCTACTACCTCTAGAAGATAAATGGACAGAATTGTTACTTTGTGGACCATTTTGGGCAACTCTATGACCCAGAACCAGTCAAATATTCTACCACTCATCTTAACCCTTTTGCTGCAATATTCTTGAGAACTAGCCATGTATTTCAGTCATACATGTTCTTTCTTTTTTTCCCCGATGTATTTACATCAATATTTCAGGCGTAATATCCTTAAGTGTTGTTTTGTGTACATGTGAAACTCAGTTTCTTGCCCCAAGGAACACAGATTGAGATTGTTTGGTCCTTCATAGTTTGTACTTTTTATCGGATGCTATTATGAGGATGAGATCAAGGCAGAAGAGGTGCACAGGGGATACAAAACACATGGGAGCGCTGAGGAATTTGTACAAAAGAAGATGTGATGGGAAGAGAATACTTGGGAGACCTAGGCTTTGATGGAATTGTAGTATTTTATTGGACTTTAGGGAAATGGGGTGTGTGTATGTGGACTAGCAGTGAAGATGAGTTCTTGACACTTCTAGGAACTGAATTCCAGTTACTGAGCCTGTAGCCAGTTACAGTTGCTATGTGGGAGGACAGTAAATATAAGACATTGTGTAGTTATGATCCAAAGTCAGCCTTTTGCGTTGGAGTTAATGAACTTAAGATTTTTTGTGAAAAACAATTATAAAGGGACTGAATTTTAGTTCAGTAGAAATAAAATGATATTTTACAACGTAGAAAATGCCAACCTGAAGTAAAATGGAAAATGATATTTGACTTGTAGTTGGTGGGTCAGTATGTTCTCAGTACTGAAGAATTAATTCAGAAATGGAATCCAAGTGTTTGGTCAGAGCATGACTGTAAGATTGACAGAAATTCATGCTTTTCAAACTTTGTATTTCTCCATGGTCACATTGGTGACAAAACACATGGCCTCATCTGGTTTTTGTGATGGATGTTACAGACCTTACGTAGGTCACAAAGAAGCGATCTTCCAGACTTATGCTCAGACTTGGTATTTGATGCGATCTTTGAATGCCCATCTGGGGGTACATACGTGCTGAAAGGTAAGGTGGATACAATTTGAATTTCAAAGTATATTTTAGTAGCTTGGTTTTTAGATCATGTAATAATGCTGTATGAATAACACTTTGTGTAGGGTGTTATGCAAGATGCAATGATAATGGACTGGAATAGACTGATTCCTTACATGTTCTGAGATTTTCTTGGAAGAGAGTGAAAAACCAATTGATTAATCATTCAGGGGACTTCTTAAACTCTTTCTTTCTCTGAATTTATAGTAAGAAGAATATTGAAAAATGTTTAAGATAAAAGCTGTAGACTTTAATAAAATCTGTATTTTATTTCATGTACCACATCTGTTTGTAAAAAAACGAAGTTAGATTTAAGTTTCAAGTAAAGTAGCATTGGTCTAATACAGACATAAATTAAATTCTTGCACAAGTTTTAGTTCACCAATTTAGTTAATATTAATATGGGAATTTGTCAAGGATATAGGTTAGCTTATGTATATAAAAAGTATGATGGATTTATGTAAAAAAAATGCATGTGATACATGGTGATGTTCATATTTAAAAAAAGTTACTGTTGAATGTGTGTAATTAAACAAAAGGAAATAATGGTGAAGTATTAAAATATTTATAATTGAGTAGCTGATTGAATATGGCCTCAAGTTCCGATATATGAGATAAATAATGTGGGTGTCAGTTTATTAAAGCTGTAATGTTGGAAGTAAAGATTTTGTTATGCAGAAGAATGGTGAATTACATGAGATTTTCTTTATCACTCTTGGCACAAAGGGAACAAGTCATTAATAAACTTGTTTCTGTGCATGAAGTGGATACAACTATTACAGCTGTTAAGTTAGTAAGTGTACTTAACCGAAGAAAATGTATTACAGTGAGTAGCTGTGAATTATATAGCAAATTGTTACATCATTCTTTTATCACAGGAAAATACTATTGGAAGCTGACTCGAGAAGGGATATCAAGTGGAAGTCCTCGTCTCATCTCTCACATCTGGCCTGAACTTCCCAGTGACATAGACGCAGCCACTGCTTTCAGCCGGGATAGAATTTATTTCTTCAAGGGAAACAAGTTTTGGACTTGTTGTTATTCACACTGCACCTGTGCTTACATTTCTGTCGGGTGGCCAGGAATTCCAGACCATGTGAATGGAGTTACATGGGCTGGTGGTTATATTTTCTATTTCTTTAAAGGTAAACTTCCCACTGTCAAGCTGAGTTCCAGCACCTCGGTCCCATACTAAGTTGACAGAATGTCTTACGCAAACCTGAATTAGTTCAGTAAAGAGGAGTTGCTTGTTATCAACCTCACAGAGCAATTATTTGCAGTTCACATTCTTTTCTATAAGCTCCAGGTTTGTTTGCTTCTCCTAAGTGCCCACACGGTCCTCCAGCCAGAATGTTGTGTCATGCATGTTTCATGTCTGCCCCATCTCAGACTCCAATAATATTTGGCGAAGAGCATTAACTATGTTGTGCTTTGCTTTTGGGTCCAGATATTCTTCTCAAAAACTTTATTTAAAAAACGTCTACCCTAGTTCCTTTGAATAACAGTGAAGTCTGTATGCCTGTGTCTGATCAGTTGCACCAACAGAAACACATTTAGTAATTATTATATGAAAATATAGAAATGACATCCATATAATGCAGGGCTACCAGCTGGACTTAGCTCTGGGTTGTGGGGTTAGGTTAGGTTAGGTTTGCTGCTGCAATGCATGGCCAGTGAAGCTCAGTCCCCTGCCTTATGAGAGATAAGGTGGTCCACGTGACTAATCACAAGACAGATGGAGGTGAGTGCCAAGCTTCAGACGTTGCCCCTCGTGAAAAGAACTTTCTGTTACAGGTGACCTTTATTGGAGGTTTGATGCATCACGGTGTACTCAGGTCCCTGCCTCATACCCCAAACCATTATCAGACTGGGGTAGCATTAAAGGTCGTGTGGATGATGTGCTGTATGTCGACAGGCAGCATATCTACTTCTTCACAAATGGTTACTACTACCGATATGACTGTGTCGCTGCCCGGGTGAGGAGAACTGCATCCAGTTCAAGATTTAACTGCATTCAAAATGAAACTTTCAAATTAACATGTGATAAATATTTTGAGATTTTTTTTTTCCCCGTTACACTTACACTTACTCCATTTAGCTGTCTGTTTGAACGGAGCCCTCGCATCCTGAGTCCAGCGAGTCTGCCACTATTAGGCACACTGTGGAACTCTGCAAGTGTATTCTTTGGTTTCACTTTTGTTGTTATGACATCATGACATTTCTTTCCTCTGAATACAAATTTTAATTTTGTAAGTGGAAACGAGTTATGTGGGGCTAGATCTAGGGAGAATGGGTGAGGAACAACGGTATTGCGATTTCTGGTATGGATAAGTCAGACAGAGTTGGAACATTGTTTTCTCTATACAAGCAAGTTTTAAATTTCTGTATGTTTAATGTAATGACAATTTGCAAGTGATACAACCAGCCCTTGGTCAAAAAACCGAAAGAATGGTTTTACCAACATACAGCTGGCGTACGGCAAAGTGATAATCAGTTGGCAGACATTGTTTCTATATTCATGCACCTTATAAGCACACATTCTTTGTATTCAGCTCAGGACATTTTAGGGGATGTGTAAAAAAACTCTTAATTAAAGAAAGTCACTTGTTATGTACCTCACACAATGAGCTCAACTATTTGTAGTTCTCATATTACTATGTAACATGTAGATCCGGCAGGTAAACTGGAAAACGCACAGTATATCGCTGGGGAAATGAACTGGAATGCAGGGTAATGTTAAAAAGGATCTTTGAAAATGGGTTGTCAGGAAATGAACTGAATTGACGGCTCAGTATCAGTTTCACTTTAGGTTTGTATCAGACTTTTGGGAATGATTATCTGTGCCTGTTGGTCATTGGTCAATGGATCAGTCAGTTGGTTCTATACTCTTTTTTTTCTCTCTCTTTACTTTCTGTAGTACTTATATGATTTGAAGGATATCAATATAATGTGTTTCTTGTTTTAGTGTGACAATGGGCAACCCAGTCAACCACGTTACCCTCGTCGTACTAGTTTGTTCTTTCAATGTGACGAAGAAGTGTCAGAACGAAGTGTTTCTTCTGAACCATCTACTACCAGCACTACATTGACAATTATTGACACTACAACTGCCAGCAGCGCTACTTCTGTTGTAACTATTATGAACACTACAACTGCTAGTAGCGCTACTACTATTATTTCAATCGTTGAGACTGCCACTTTCAATGTCACAGTAGTGGAGGGTGACGAGCCACCACCTGCAAATGAACCGGATTATAGCGGTGGAATCCTCAGAGGTATTCAGTCATACTACTAAAGGAATTTTCACTGCTCTGTGCTTAAATGCAACCCCATGAAGGCATGGAGATAAATCTCCATCAGTATTCACTGGCCTCAGAGCTACTGTGGATCTTCTCCCAGAAGCTTATCACTTTGCTGACTGAGGGTCTTGCTTCCACTAGGCGGTAGGGTTCCATCGCCATTGGAGACGGAGTATTTTCGTCCACTGTCATGACCAGAATTTGTGTATTGCCTCCATGGCATCGTTCCCATACATAATGTTGCCAAATCTGAAACAATCAAATTTTTAAAATGAATGATGTCTGAACCAATCATTTTCTAAGAACCAGGTTGTAACCAGTTTATGCTCACTCCAATATACGCACAACTGTCGGGTGACTGGATGATTAATGCAACTTTATCAATGTGGTTAGTGACAGGCATAATTTCCTTTCTAAACCTCTTTTAAAACATCGTGAAACAATTTAACTCACTTTCCAGCATCTTGCAGTTGTTAACGTTGTTGTCGGCAGGGGAGAGATTGGTCCTTCTCAATAGAGCATTGTAAGCGTGGCAGGATAAGTAGAATAAATACAAATAGCGTGTGAGCTGTGGTGATGCTAATTGAACCTCGGTGCAACATTGATGTGACGATTATTGTGGCTGCAGAGTGTCTGGGCTGCTGGTAGTGGCTTCTTTCTGTTTTAGCAGGAGGAAATAAATTAAATAATTTTCAGTTGCAACCAGGTGACTAGTACTGAAAACAGGGTAGGCCTTGTAGTTACAATGATGTTCTCTTCTTTCAGAAACTGGTTTTACATTTTGCACACATTTTCTAGACTGGGTAGAAGTTTCTTAATAAATAAACATATTTTAAACAAACTGCGCAATATTAGCAAATGCATTTATGAAATTAAGGTGGCAGCACATATACGCTAGGTAAACTAACCACCAAATTGAAAATTAAAGTAGTTAGCATTTCTAAGGTTAGATGTACTCAGTTTAATTAGTTATCCATTAATGATGCTCTGGTCACCGAGCTTTGCCACCGTTTTAATTTGGTGGCTTTAGGCACTTTCATTTTATACAATTCATATTCATGAAACTCGATACACTAATTGGATAGACAGTGCCAACATTTGGTGTGGCTGTATCTTTAAAAAAAGACTTATATTTATAGTTTAGATGCGTCATGTTTGTGTTTTCAATTGATACATATATTTATTCTTCAAGTCTAGTATGTTATTATGTTTCTATATTGCTTAATGAAAAAAATTTTATAACGATGTCCAAACTCATTTACGTATGAATAATATTAATAATATTAATTATATTGTTGATAATTTCACAGAAATAATGAACAAAATAATATAAACACGCCACATAATATGCAAAGAATCGGAAGCTAAAAGGACCATCCACAACTACAACCTACAATCTACAATTACCGAAAAGCGTGCATTAAAAAATATTGAATAGTTTTAAAAAATAAACCTGAAGATGATGCTGAGACATCGAAACATGTTGTAATATATAGCGCAAATTGTAACATCGAGAAAAACGATGAATAGCGCGAATTATTTATATCAATTTTAATTTTAAACATCAATATTAAAATGTTTTGTGTATAGACTTGAAGAATAAATATATGTATCAATAAAAAGACTTATGTTCACTTGCAAGCACTTAAGTTCGAAAACAGCGTCATTTGTGTGACAAGTACTACAGACTTTTGTTTTTGTTATGTTGCCATTTCTTCTCATGTTTCGACGTAGTAAATGTTGAATGGATTTTTGTAAAACTTTGTTTGTGACACATTATATGTTCTCATTCTTTCGGGACTTTGTGTTATTTTCTTAGTGGCCATCTGATTGTGTCAGGTCTTCGCTTCTTCATAATCATCTCACTTATTTTAATCTGTGGAAAAACTGCAATGTGGCCTGGCTAGGCGTGCACTCCATCTGAACACTGATTCAACAGTGATTAATGGAAGGATATTATTAAAATGAGACTTTGAAATTGTGAAGTGGACTGAACTGGCTCAGAATGAGTTTATATAATGATAATGATGAACCTTCATATTTGATAACAGCAAGAAGTCTCTTATTAAGGTGGACAGGGAGTTGGTTACGGGATGTTTTAGACGGTAGTGTAAAGCAGATTTGTATTTTCAGATCAGGAGTTTGAGACGGGACATGCCGTTAAAAGGACCGACTCAATCTGCCTTGTCGTCTCTCTGGCTCTCATTGTTTCTGCTCAACCCTGTCACTGCTTCAGCGCGCTGCCTCACGGACCAGGACTCGGATGCTTCTGAGAGTGTTTTGACGAGTTGTCTGATGAGGCGGTTATAAATCTCACTGTACTTCCAGACATGTCTGATGTGTTCTTTGCCCCACCCCCAGTCTTGAGAAGAATGTACGGCGACCTTGTGTTCTAGAAACTAAGAGGGTTTAAAAATGTCTCATTAATAGCCAAAGGAAGAGCTCCGTGGAAATGTACTTTGTTTGTAACTGAGGACAAACTTGTTTAAAGGAAGTTATTAAAGCAAACCTTGGGATATTTTGTAAATGTTCAGTGATGTGCAGTTTAGTATTATATAAAACTGCAATTGTGAAGCGTTGGTGCCAGTCACATTTGTGGTGGCGTGGGTCATCTCTGCTTGAATACTGGATAATGGGTTCGAATCCCACTCAGGCATGGATGTTTGTTGGCATCTTACTGTGCTCTATGTAATCAGAGACCTTAAATGAGCTCTTACGCCCTATCCAAAGACTCCTAACCAACCCCTGAAAATTTTGAAAAGTTTGCACACATGAACTCTTAAATTTATTGCCTGTCTCCTCTTTCCTCAGTTTCATTTGTTTCCTTCTTATTTTCCTCTGATGTCCTTGTACAAACACACTATGAGAAATGACAGGAAAGTGGAGGGTTCTGAAAGTTGGCTGTCTTCTGGGTTATTGCGCCATGTCGTATGATAGAAGTTTACTGACATTTCAGAGGTCCTTGCTGCCTCCATAAACAGGGTAACGAGGAGGGTACAAATTTGGCATTTGTCTCATGATTTGGGAAACAAGATGCTGGAAAATTTGATTGTTTGAAAACTTATGTCAGAAATAGTTTCCATCTGTGCCATCTGTGGTGCATTGCATTAACTAATGCAGGCTACCTATGTAATGTGCTGTTATCTACGTCATTCTTTGAAATTACTGGTTGAAACGGTTGGTTTAGTCGGTAACAGAGAGTGCTGTAATATGTTTTTTTACCTCTCTTAATTATATGATACAACTCAGAATTGTACGATTCTTGTGCTTCCTCGTGTTTGCTTATTTAGGCTAATGGAAAGAGCACGAAGAAAGTCTGAAGTATTCCGAACTGTTTTTGGATTTGTAGATCTACATGCCAAATTTAATTGGGTGAAAGATATCTCATGTTACAATTGTGGGATGTACTTCCTTCGTTTGAAACCTCAGCTTCCCAAAGCAGGGGATGAAAATGACTTGTGTGGCGGCTGAAGGAGACGAAAGAGGAATAAATGCAGGAAGTGCGTGTTGCTACCTCGTATGCGGGAAAACAACACTCACGATCAGGAAAACGGAAATTTGGTAGGATGTTGCTCTGCTACACTGCTTTAAGCACGATTAAGAATTACGAGACCTGATATCAGAACAAATGCCGAGCTCAAGTTTCGTCATAAAATTCCAAGCGCCACAGCATGCTGGGATGAGCATGTCTCATAATATTTTGCGTGACTGTACATTTCATTCATGGATTTCAGCTCAGTTGTTACGTCCGTGAAGGGGGAGATAGGGGAGAGCACATTCACACTGGCTTGAGAAAACTCACGACCATGTGTCCATGACGAAAACAAGGGAGCAGACTCGTAATTATTGCGGGCTTTTTGTTTCTTGCGTTACTCAAAATAAATTATGTACTGTACCGTGGGAATCTGTGAATCTTATGCTTGTGATTGTACCATTCACAATGGTCTCTTTGTACGCAACATGGCAGTCATGTATAATCGCGTCTTTCTTTTCAGCAGATATGTTCCGAAGCCTTATCATTTCGAAGAGGCCGGAAGTGTAATGCAAGAGGTGTGGTTCCCCCCCACCACAAACACACATCACGCGTGTTGACGGCAAAGAAAAATCGGGCAGAAAGGAAGTTGCGACATTCAGGAAGTCGTGCGGTCGGTGCGGCAGGACGGGAATGCCGGGGGGGAACACGGCGAGCGTAGGGCCAGCCAGCCAGCCAGCCAACCTTCATTCAATTCGTTCTCTTGTCAGTTGCTTGGAACGGGATGGAGTCAATATGGCGGAGGGGGGAAAAAA